GGTGTCTGGGGTCTTAAAAGCTTGCAAGCGGCCATCTAAGATGCATCAATTGGTCCCAACCACCTGGAGTAAAGGAGAATGAAGAACACCAAAGACACAGGGAAAGTATTAGCCCAAGAGACCGAATGGGCCACGTAAACCAGAGACTTCATCAGCCTGAGACCAGAAGAACTAGATGGTGCCTGGCTACCACCAATGACCACTCTGACAGGGAACACAACCGAAAGTCCCAGATGGAGCAGGAGAAAGGTGGGGTGCAGAACTCAAATTCTAGTAAGAAGACCAGACTTAATGGTCTGAGACTGGAGGAACCCCGGAAAGCATGGCCCCTAGATTCTCTATCAGCCCAGAACTAAAACAATTTACAAGGCCAATTCTTCAGACAGGGATTGGACTGGACTGTGGGACATAAAGTGATACTCGTGAGGAGTGTGCCTCTTAGCTAAAGTAGATACAGGAGACTAAACGGGCAGCGTCTGTCTGGAGGTGAGATGGGAAGGCAGAGAGGGTTAGGAGCTGGTTGAATGGTCATGGGGAATCAGGGGTGGAAAGGAGGAGTGTGCTGTCACAGTATGGGAGAGCAATTAGAGTCACATAACAATGCATGTATAAATTTTTGTATGGAAAAAAACAAAAGAAAAAAAGGTGGTGGAAAAAAAAGGTAGCATTCTGAGCATCTGCCTCCAGAAACACTGATCCTTAATTAAAAAAAAAAAATCACAGAGCATCATCATCTGTTATATTTTCTCTGAGTGCTTTAAAATGCTGCCATTTACTATTATTTATACCACCACCATCATCATCTGAAAAGATAATTCCATAAAAATCCTTACTGGAAAAAAAGCAAGAACCGAAATGGGGCAAAATAGGGCAAGCTTTCTGGCACCATTAAAGAAGACACTGCAGACAGCCACTGAAAAGCTTGGTAAGATCAGAAAAGACAAACTAACCAAATGCCCTGGTATCCAGGTCCTGGCTAAGCAGATGGTCTACCCAAAGGGTTAGTGATTAAACCCATCTCATAAGGGTCCATGAGGGTACCCAGGAAATAAATTCTCTGATTTTGCTAGGAAGACCAGCATAGCCAAGTGTGGCAATGTTTATTTAGTATCTGCCAAAAAGGAAAAGACACGTTTTCACAGAATAGTAATCATTGCTATAATTCTCACAGTCAATAGTGCTAAGATCAAGGCCCCAGCTACGTAAGAGTTCTCCATAATGTTCTTGTAAAGGAGTTTTAAAAACAATTCTCTGGTTAAGTGAGGGAATGCCCCAGTTAACCACAGATTTGTGAGAAATCTTTTCTGAGCACTGCAGAACACTGAGGATAGATATCAAATGAATACCTGAAATTACAATGACTTTCAGATCTTTGCTTTCAGCGTCATGGAGAATGTCACTTTGGAGAGATTTCAGCATTGCAAGTGACAACGCGTTCCTCTTCTCTGGATTGCTCAAGACAATGTTCCTGTGAAGAGCATTTTATAATTAACCAGGTTGTGCACTCGTCAAAACAAGTTGGGACCCCTGCGATGCCATTCTAATTTGGGAGCTATTTTTAAAATACAAGGAAAGAGAACTGCCTGGGCTTCCTACCATTTTCGAGGATCTGTCAACTCTCTAGAGTTACAGCTAAGTCAAAACAAAGGAAAGATTACCTGAGATACAGGCTGGTTTTTCTTCCTCTTCCCTAGATTTGTTTATCTTTTTCACAGGTTTGCTGTCAAAAAATGTTACTGCCACCTCCACAGAAAGGGCAAGTCACAACAGTTCCAAAATCACCACCGCCCATACTGAGAGGGTGCAGGTTCTGTATGACAGCAGCAGCAGACAAGGCATCTAACAAACAGTGGCTACCTTCAGCTTATTTCTTCCTGTTGTTCTTCAGAACAAGGTTAGGAAAGGAGCCAAGAATGAAAATACTCCCTCATGCCCCTCCCACCCACCCCACGGATTAGGCAGCCAAAGTACACACCTGCCAATATGTACATATGACAGCAGTTTCTCTCTCTCTTTTTTTTTTATAGTGGTATCCTGTAATTCTGTAAAATAATTCATGCTGTCTAAGAATGCGATGATATGTAAAGAACAAAAGGACAAAACCAGACAGCAAGGGGGCTCTTCTGGACATATCATCTAACAAAAAGCTGGCATTCAAAGGGCCTGTTTGCTATTTTAAGGTATCCCACATGCTGATTAAAATAACCTGTACTGTCATCCTACTGCCTGTACACAGAAATGTCTTATTTTTGCTGTTATAAGAAATAGGCAATGAGCCAAACACCAGATTATTGTTATATATTTTATATCTGTTTCCCACCAGTCTCCACCTACATGTTTTCTGCTTTTCTCGTTCTTTTTTGAATCTGATATTCCTACCGCTATGTAGTCAACTTGGGTCCTCCATAAATAGCATTCTGTGCCATCGTTTTCTGGAAAACAACTCCGATGACTGCATTTATTTCAATGCAATGAGAATAACCATTTTCTTTGGAATACCATTCCAATTTTGCTGCAGTCTTCACGTAGTTGTGATATTTATTGTTTTGTTTCTCATAAACATATTCTCTCCTAAGTACAAAAACTACTTGCAGCTGATATACTGATAGACTTCTGAAACTGCGATTTTGGGGGGTGGTGAGGATAATGAGTGTGCTTGCTGTAGCAAACATGAAAAGCTGCCATCCCATCGGTGACATATGCTTAAATTAAATTCTAAGGCCTCAGGCAAAATTGTGTAAATACATTCCAGCCCCCAAAACGCCCTTACTGCACAGCAGTATCTGTTCATATGTGTCCCATTAATCCTTTGGCTCCGGCATTACACATGCTGTCAAGAGTGTTCTAAACTGCTGAGTCCACTTTTCAAGTCAGTGTAACCAGGCTTCTGTTCCTACTACTCCACTAACCCTGTCTTCACCAATAATCTCCTAACTGCCAATTCCAATTCCAATGGCCTTTTTTTTTTCTCCTGGACTGCTCAGCTGCAGATGACACTGTTGCTTACTCCCTCCTTCTGTAAATTTATTCCTCCAAGGCTTTCCACCACACTCCCCTAGTTTTTTGTACCTCTCTGGCCATTCCTTCTTGATTTCTTTTAGGGGCTCCTAGCCTTCTGCTAACCCCTTAAATGCCAGTGATCCTCAGGGGTCCATCCTTTGCCCTCTTCTTGCTCCATACACTTTTCCCGCGGCAACTTCACCAATGTGCCTGGCATCAACCACTACCTCTATGCTGACAACTCCCAATTTTTAGTGCTAATTCAAATCTCTCTCCTGAGCTCCAGCTCCACATGTTCAGATATCTACTGACTTCTCCCTGACTCCAAAATGTGCCTCTTTCCCCTTCCCTTATCTCAGTGTTGCCACTCAGTTGTCCAAGACAGAAACTAAAAATCACTTCTATCTCTTCCTTATTCAACTGGCACCAAACGTAACACATCCGAAAAATCTCACCACTCTCCCAATGGCTATCTTGATTCAGAACGTGATGTCTTGCACCTAGGGCGTTACCAACACACCAGTCATAAGAGGGACTCTCTTTAAGAATGAGGTCACCACTAGGGCATGTGAAAAAAGTGTAACCTTTCCATTTACAAGTGTACTTCATTTATGAGGCAAGAGGCGGTCCCTGTAGATGCCCCAATGAGCTCTCTGATCATCACTGCAAACCACTATGAGGTCCATGAAGTGAGGGATTGTCATGTTCATACTCAGAAGAGACACTCAACAAGTATCTCTTGATTAATGGCAAGAAATAGCATTTCTATTGTTCACAGCCAATTCCAGCAACACGTACATAATTGTCATGGATTTACATCTCATATAGTTCTTTTCTTTTTTTTGCCATCTCTTTTAAACCTAACAGATGAGTAGACTGATGGCCCAGCAGAGTGGAAATAACTTCGTGGCAGACGGACTTTCACTGACTCCTGCTGTTCTCACCTATTGGCTGCGTGGCCTTGAACAGGCTGCCACTGCTCTGAACTTGTTTCCTCACTATAAGTGGCGATAGTATTATCTAGCTTGCAGGCTGTTGTAAGGATTACGGATAATGAATATACAGTGCCTGGCATAGTACTCAGTTCATAGCTGGCTCTCACTAAATGACAGTTATTATCGTTGAGAGAGGAACAGCTTTGAAAAGGAACCCCTGAAGACTGAGGTACTGCAGCTCACTACCTAATATCTAATAAAACCAACCGCCAGTTGCCGATTCTCACTCACGGCAACCCTATGTGTGTCAGAGTAGAACTGTGATCCATAGGGTTTTCAATGGCTGATTTTTCGGAAGCAGATCACCGGGCACTTCTTTTGAGGCACCTGTGGGTAGACTTGAACCTCCAGCCTTTGGGTTAGCAGCCAAGTGCCTTCACCATTTTTACCACCCAGGGACTCCAGAGCCTAACATGTTGTTGGTATTGTTAGTTGCCATTGAGTCAATTCCGACTCACAGTGACTCCATGTGTGCAGAATAGAACTGCTCCATAAGGCTTCAAGGCTGTGACCTTTCAGAAGCAGACTGCCAGCCCTTACTTCTGAGGCACCTACTGGGTGGATTCAAACTGCCAACTCCTTGGCTAGTAGTAAGCACTTAACTGTTTGTGCCACCCAGGGACTCCTATAGTGCCTAACACAGTACTGCTTTAAGGCTTGATTTGGGGATTTCCTTTCTCTAAACGATTTCTAAGGAGCCCTGGTGACACAGTGGTTAAGCACTCACCTGCTAACTGAAAGGTTGGTGGTTCGAACCCACCAGCCTCTCTGTGGGAGAAAGATGTGGCAGTCTGCTTCCGTAAAGATTACAGCCTTGGAAACCCCATGGGGCAGTTCTACTCTGTCCTATAGGGTCACTATGAGTTGGAATTGACTTGACAGCAGCAGGTTTTTGGTAAACAGTTTCTAGCATTTTTGATAGATTCTTCCAATCATCTCCTTTTCTAAGTCATGTTTAACTCTGGAGAACTCAACCAGGCCTTCTTTCATCATCTGGCTGTCATGCCAGAATCCAGGCTTCTGACAAGACGTAACCAGATATGCAGACAAAGAATCACCCTTAAAAATGGGCAAGAAGGGCCCCTATATGTTACATGGCCCTGCTCTGGCCCTCTTCCAGTGGAGCAAGGAGTCTACCGGGGTAATAGGATGTGCCCACTTGGAAATCACCATCCCTTTCCAAACCCTGCTTCAGTTTTCTGGGGCCTTGGATTCCTTGCCTCTGCCATAGGCACACCTAGGCCCAAGAGGTGGCCAAGAGTGGTTGTTTGTAGTGGGTGAGAGGGTGACAGAACACTGGCATGCTGGCGGGGTGTCAGCAGACCCTCAAGTGCAAAGGCCCTTGCAGAGCAGGAGGGAGGAGGGATGGGGGGTGGTGACGAGGGGAGGGTGAGAAGAAAAGGAAAAAGCTACAGTTCAGGGGCTGGCTCTCTGCCCTTTGCAGGGGAACTCCTGGCATCTGAGGATTATAAATTCAAGCATGGTCTGTCAGGTTTTATGAAGGCATACTTGTCAGGGTAGAAAAACAAAACATTTTATTTAACAGCTTGATTCTGTAACTTTTAAATACTTGGACATGCTATTAGTTCTCCGTTTTGTACCTTTGCCCTGGCCAGGGAAATGTTAGGGTCAGGCCTGAATGGGGCTAGGAGCCTTCAACCTTTATTACTTCACCGTCCAGTTTCCAGTTTGCGCACAGGATTTTAGATTTGTTGAGCAAAAGAAGAGAGCTCGGTAGGGTGTGTCCTTGATCCTGTTTATTGACCTATCCCCACCCGGAGCACTTCTGGGTTACGGCAGCCAGAGGAGCAGCTCTGCTAAACCTAATCTCACCTTGGGGCCAGGACAAAGGCTTTTCTCAAAGGCCGCTGCAGCGGTGGGGCGATCCTGTAGAGCTGCCCACACTGCGCCCCGAAAGCCCAATACTCGGTTGCCCTAGAGGTTTAGGGGGAGTGCTGGGGCCATCCAAGCCAATCCCACTTAAAATCCTCCGGTTTCTAACTTGCAGGATCCCAAACGCTACTGCGCATAAAGGATATCTGTAAACTCGGTATCTGGATTCCTTCAAAGAGATTAAACATTAGACTTCCCAAGCGGCCAGACTCGGTAGTGACGGAAAAACAGAGGTCAAGGGTGGCGGAGGGAGACGACCCCTTTGGACTCAGCCTGCGCTGCCACCTCTTCCCAGGCCCTGCCATCGCCCCCTCCCCAATTAGGAACAGCGGGTGGGAGGAGCGGACGCAAGGCGCGGCCCCGAAGGCTGACCTGATGCCGTCCCGCTGCCGCGCGCAGGTGGGTCGCGGCTCGGGTCCCGGCGGCTCGGCCCCAGCCGGTCTCCGGCTGCAGAAGCCGGCGGCGAGCGGAGCCCACGGGCCGCGGAGGAGCCAGCCCGGCCCCTTGGCCTGTAAGCCCGCGACCGCAGCCATGACAGCCGGAGACGGGTTCCGCTGGGGATTGGTCGCCGCCGGTTCTCGACGCCAATGGGCGGCGACTCGGCGCCCCGAGGGTCCGCAGGCTCTGGGCGCTCCACGAGGCGCAGGCGGAACGGACGGCGAGCAGAACCGAAACAAAACCCAGGCCCAAGCCTCGAGAAGGCAATTCTCCCAGGCCAGAACCCTGCCCGACCCCTGGGCCCTCCTCGCTCTCTCCTGACCCCACCCCCAGGCCCGGCCACGCCCCTCTCCTGGCCCCGCCCATCGGGGTGGGGCCTGGGGAGAAAAACGGTGGGGCTAAAACTGCGTGTTAGGTCCGGTCTCTGTTTGGTTTAGCGACTCCTGCTAAAGAGTTTTAGGGAAGCGAGGAGTGGGTTGTGTTGTTTCTTTTTGCACCAACACCAAGAATGTAGTGGTTTGCCTACATTAGAAAAATAAATGTCACAGGCAGTGAGTGGTGTGAGCTATGGATGCCGCTTTATAGCACATTGCTTCACCCCACCCACGAGAAACCGCCCCGGCTTTGCAGGCCATCACAGATCGCAAAGTGAGTGCTGTTTTCTCGCTTACCTGAAACTCAGGGAGGTCCACATTTGTCTTTGGGTTTTCAAATGCACCCAGGAGGGAAAGGGAGGCCCTTTTTAGGACCTAAGTGGCTGGCAGGACAGGCACACCCTGCGACTGAAAGCTGAAGTGTAAGAATATCTTCACTGTTGTTTGTTAACTACTTCCTAGTGTTCGTTTCCAAGTCTGGAGAATTGTGGTGTATCTGGAATAGTCTCCACCCTCTGGATCTTATAGTCTCAAGGGAGGATACCATACCCAGAACCCTTCACACATATCATAAGAAGTTCTGCAATGGTACCAATTCTACAAAAACCACCCATTGCCGTCCAGTCGATTCCACTCAGTGACTCTATAAAAAGGGTATACTCAAATGGGGCCACTGAGATTGATTGCATAGTGGCTTAATATAGTCACACACTGGGTTCCTTTGAGTGGGGCACCCGTTTAGTTCTCAGCTTCATAATTGAACAAAAACACTTATATGACAGAACAATATTTTAAAATCTCAATTAAGATGGCCTCTCCCACTTCCCCACTATCACACACTCCATTTCCTTGCTCCATTCAGGCAGCTAGAATATTCTGTCCTCATTCAATGCCTCAAAGGAAGATAGAATCCAGTAGAATTCAAAGAGGAGGCAATTCTTGGCTTTTGAGGTTTAAAAGCCCAGCCCTTGGTGCAGGGATAGGAGGTGGAAAGAACACATAATAGATTTGGGGGACCTACTGATGAATAAGAATAAGGCTTCCAGCCTGGGGTAAGATTCTCCAGCCCTGGGGATACAAATGGGGTTGCCATGAGTCAGAAACAACTAGATCTCAACTTGTACTGGTAGGTTTCGGGGCAGGAGTAGAGCAATTGGACTTGTAGGAAAATCAAGAGGAGAGTAACTGATGTGAGAATTTGGAAAATGAATGCCCAGTGCCTGGGCCAAGCCTCCTGGGGAGGAAGTGGAAATCGTGGAAGCAGAGGCAGTCTTGCTCCTATCCCTGGTAGAACCCCTGTGAAGTCATGAGACTCCAGAGAAGAAATGGTGGCATAGAAGGCCCCACAGAGTTTCCCCGGCCCTGTGTGATGCTGTAGCAACAGAGGGGTTCAGAAATAGCAGAAAGAGGTTCGGACCCAAGGAGGCCCTGAGATGGGGGACAGTGAATGACTCAGCAAGTGTGGATTAACAAGTGAAGACAAGCTGGGAATGACATCTTGGGTGGCAGTGTGGATAGATGATGTCACCTGTACCCTCCAGGTGGAGCCCTGGTGAAGTAGTGGTTAAGTGTTATGGCTGCTAACCAAAAAGGTTGGCAGTTCGAATCCACCAGTCGCTCCTTGGAAACACTTTGGGGCCGTTCTATTCTGTTCTATCGGGTTGCTATGAGTCAGAATTGATGTGATGGCAATGGGTTTGGTTTTTTGGTTTTTTGGTTTTTGTACCCTTCAGGCAGCTAGAATATGTTGAGGTAACAAAAACAGCAACAACAAAAACAAGTCTCAAACAGCAAAGATCCATTTCTTATTCACGCTACTGTTGCAAATCAGCTGAGGGCTCTGTCCTTGCCCTGGGAACCAGGCCGATGAAGCATCCTCTGTCTGAAGAGTTGCCAGTCTCTGTTTCGGGGGAAAAAACTGGTGAGAATCATGCACTGGCTATTAAAAGCTTTCTTCTGGAAATGCCTTTTGCTCTCATTTTTCATTTGCTAAAGCAAGTCATATGGCCATACTTAACTTCAGGTGTGTGGGGAAGTACAACTCTACCACGTATTTGGAAGAAGGAAGCCAGAATCTTTGTGAACAACTCTAATGACTACCACAACCCCCCCCTCAACACCCCTCTAAAGAGTAGTTTGTAAAAATGGCATCGGGGCGGTGTCTGACCTCCTCCAACCCCACAAGGGGGAAGGAGAACCAAGATCAACAGCCCAAGGCTGATTCCCATGAGGCGAAGGTCAGACATGCCTTGTCTCTCCACCGTCTCTACCAATTCTGACACCAACCATCCCTGGCACAACACTCTCTACTTCTCTGCTGGGTTCGATAATTCACTGCAATGACCACACAGAACTCACAGACCATACTCACAATTACGGGGTTTATTAGGGAAGTAACAGTTACAATTCAGGCTTGAGAACACTCAGGATACAGTTCTTCCATCAGGATAGCCTCTTCCCAGCTGGGCTCACAGGTACACCTCTCCCTGGACTTCAGTCTCTACCCCAAAGCACTTGGCTTTCTCTCTCCTTGGGCTGGGAAGCCCACCACACAGGCGCCTGCTACTGGGTCTCTCCTTCCTTGGTAGCTGTAGGCTCCTCTTTTCTGCCCTGGAATTGGCTCTCTTTTAAAGTGAAACTGACCAGTTCCCTTGGTAGGCCACAATTACCCTATCACACAATCACCTGGGTGGGAGTTACAAGACCATGGCTAGAAAGTCCACATGCAAAAGTAATTAATCGCACTCAGTGTTGTAAGCTAATTTTGGCTTAATTCAGGAACTAGGGATAAAATTCTGAATTAGGTATCTAATACCAGGCAGAATGGGGGGTTGAAATAGAAATTCACTTCATCAAAAATAAATAAATAAAGTCAAATTTCTGAAACACCCGACTTTGTGCACTGGCGTTTGTATCTGTCCTCTTCGTTGTGCCGAGTGCTACAGATGATACAGAGCATAATACCTTATGCTACAGGTCATGTGGATCAAAAAGCCTGAGCAAAAATGATCATCGTGGGCCAAAGTCCACCAATGAGGACATTTCTCACTTTCTTACTAAGATTAGTGACATTTACTCAGTTTTACTCAGTGAAACGTGTTGTTGTTGGCTGCCATCACATCAATTTCAACTCATAGCGACCGCATCTGACAGAGTAGAACTGCCCTATAGAGTTTTCTTGGCTGTAATCTTTATGCGAGCAGATTGCCAGGTCTTTCTCCTGAGGAGCCGCTGGGTGGGTTCGAACCACCAACCTTTCAGTTAGCAGCCAAGTACTTAACGGCTGCACCACCAAGGCTCCTTTTGATGTTGTCCCAAAAGTCTCTAAGGCTCTGCTAATTTTTTCTCTCTATTTTTCAGATTCAATAACTTAGATATTTCAATAGTGGATGGGAAGTTTGGATGGGAGGTGATGAAGAGTCTCCCCAACCCCAGCATAGGAGTTGGAGTATAGGAGAGAATTGGCATATAGAGTTTTCAGAAAAGGAAGGAAATAGGAGGGTACTCAGAGCCTAAGGGGATATCCTGAAATTGAGAGGTCACGAATGAAAGAGGTTTCAGAGACAACTTCCACTTTCTTTAAAATTTTATTTAGTAATAATAACAGTTGCTCCTCATGGAGCCCCATTATGTGCCAGGACTCAGTGCTTTACTTATGCTGTACCTGTTAATGCTCAGATTAACTTGCAAGGTAGGTAACCCATTAAAAAACCGACTGCCATTGAGTCAATTCTGACTCATAGCAACCCTATAGGACAGAAAAAAAACCCCACAGGTTTTCTAAGGAGCACCTGCTGGCTTTAAACTGCTGACCTTTTGGTTAGCGACTGTAGCTCTTCATCACTATGCCACCAGGGTTTCCATGAGGTAGGTATCATCATCCAGTTACCCAGTTCAGAGAGGGTTTGCCAGCCAGGTTCGCACTAAACGCAGTAGTTACGGAGTCGGTACTGAGCACCAGGGGTCAGATGAAGGATAGTGGTGTGGATTCAGGTTCCCATCCTCATCTAAATTCCTATGCCTGCTCTCCCATTCCTTTCATGTCTGTTCCTCCCCCGAATTTCTTTCAGAGTCTGTAGCCCTGGGTTGAGAGTGGCTAACAGGCAAAGAGAAAGTGTAGATGGACGGCTATTGCATTATCCAGGCAAGAGTCAATATAAGGTTGCCTAAACACTAGTCCATCCTTAAGCAGTGCCAGATTCTTTTCATTCGGACTGCTTCTCCAGGTCTCCTCTGCCTCTCATGAATTTTTGTACGGGGCTACTTGTCTTTCTTCTCTCTTGTTCAGGGCCCTTCTAATCTATTTTTCCACACTAGCTTTCTCCCTGACACAAATTGATTTCCAGGTTGCTAGCAGGCTTCTCTCTGGCTTTGATTTATGTTCCCCTTCTCTGTGCTACATGTCTTTGCTGTACAGATGTGTCTTTGCTACCTTTTCACATTTCCTTTCGAGACCCACAGATGCTTGGCAGAACGGTGCAGAAATAATGCAGAAAAAAAGATAGTTCTAGGGAGTCTGGTGTCTCAGGCTTGATGTAGGAATGAAGGAAGATTTAGACCTCCTCAGGGTGCAGAGAAAGAAAAGTGAAGGGCAGGTTTTCAACTTCTTATGGAGTGGTTTTTGAAATTCTTTTTTTATTGATTTCAGGCCCCTCTAAGACAGGCGTGTAATGACACGGTTCAGAGGTGAGCTGTGAAAGGTGGAGGAGCTTAGTGTCAGTGGAGATCCTTTGGCATCTGGCTGATTCTCCAGTTCTAGTATTCCACGCTTACCCTCCTCCCTCCCTCCGAACCACCCCCCACCAAAAAAAGGTCATAGGAGGGTGAAGCACCCATAAACTCAGAAAAGTTTCAGACTTTCATTGATTCCTGCCACGCAGATGGTTTTT